TTTTTTGCATAGTACAAACTTTTGTACATTTCATACTTCACTAGAATCTGAAGTCAATGTACATTTCTGAGTGCAATTAAAGCAAAGTTAAGATTTTATAAAACACATCTGCCAGATTTCAAACTCTGACCTTACTCAAATTGATAAAAATGAGTGGTGACTGCCATAGTGGCTATAGCAAAGGTGAGATACAAAAAGATGTTATATTTAACTGGACAAAATATTACTGGTTTAAGAGACGGCACATTTTAAAGCTTATCAGAACTCCTGCAAGAGAGCAGAAACAATTGGAACCAAGGTAGAGAATTTCTGTGGAAACTTAATGGCTAAATCAGCTTTTAATTAAGCAAACCTAGAGGCTAAACAGCAATGAAGTTAGTCATTAAGATGCTGCAGTATTATAATAAATGTGTTATGGTCTTTAGAGTGCCACAAGGCTATTTGGTGTTAAAATTTCATCTGTATTAGTTTAAAAAAAAAAAAAAGGCTATTGCCAGGATCAAAAAAATTAACAACGCCATACCTGGTACTCTCAAATTATTAGGTTTTTTCTTAGCAACTAGCATTAGTAACTATCCATATATTCACTATTTATATATCCCCAAGACAGTAAATGTCACAGCTTTAAAATGTTCAGTTTTGCAGAGTGGTGGGGCTATGTTGTTATTGTACAAGGCTTTAGCGTACCATTGACTTTTTCCTGCCACAAAAATATAACAATGAACTGCAAGTAATTTGCACCTTGGCTGCTTTGCAGATTGCCCTGTGAAGGAAGCTATATAGCAAACAGCCTTGTGACTTGTAAGAGATTTAGGGCTCTGGCAAGGTAGCAAAGAAGTTGGCACTGCCTTGAATCTTGCATGCCCGAGGCCAGCATTGAACTCATAACTATGGCTTGATTGGCTAAGCTCACATCATTTGAATTACTGCATAAATATTTAGCTATGGTTGTTAAATTGTGACATAATTAATGGATCAACATGGATTTGCAAATCTCTTGCATCCTTGTTTGCAAGAGGCCCGGTCTCTGGAGCTCTCAATGGGACATTTATGTTGACAGTGTTCTTTATAGGTTTCTGGGGAGCATACATCATCACAAGATTTCTTCTGCAGTTGTGGGCTGGCAGGGCTGTTACACAGTGTAGAGCTGGGGGAAAGAAAGGGGGAAGCCCAGGAAGTTGCTTAGCAGGGCTTGTGCTTGCTGCCAAATAGGTCTTTTCCTTCCCTCTGCCCCCATCATGCATGCATATAAGAAAGAAAAAACAGAATAGCTGGTTATCATATGCCTAACTTGTTTTGATTATCTGCTCCTTCCCCCATAACGTCATATGCTAGGAATTCTCTGCATCCAGTCACTGAGACAGAGGATAGATCAGAGAACTGGAAGCCTTGTATTGGCTTCCTCCAACTCAGCGACCTCCAATTCTGGCCAATTCTAGTTGGAGTGGATGAATCTTACTGTCCAAGAGCAACTGGGGGACACCATGTTGGGGTGAAGTATGTTAACTGCAGAAAGGATCAGCTGTTTCTCAGTTACTATGAAAAAAAGAGTACAGACTGAGAGATGAAGATTTTGTCCGAGAACAAAAATGCCTTCTGCAAGCAGGTCCTCGATCAACGTGAAATAAACCAGTCCAAAATGTAAACAGTATTCTCCACATATTAATGGGATACAGGCACATGGGTGTTTTAAACTAGACACTTTAAACCTAAAAGTAAAACCTTTATTTCCCCCTTCCTCAGTCTGCCCCTCCTGGATGGGTTGAGACTTAAGGGCCAAGATTCCCAGCCAGATCACACTGGCCAAGAATTCTGGGAAGTGTAGTCCCAAGACATCCAGAGGGCCAGGTTACAAAAGACTGGTTTACCCCACTGTGAAATGGAATTCAAATTTGTGACTCTGAGTCTCATACTGAGATTTGGAGGGAGTTATATATGCAATAACAAATAAAGGCATTGATAAAATCATAAATTCAAATTCACATTTCCAAACTAGTAGCCAGAATTAGAACCTTAACTTGGAATGTAAGAAACTACCTTATACCAGCTTAGACCATTAATCCATCAAATGCACTATTGTTTATATTAATTAGCAGCAGCTTGCCAAGCAGAAATGTTTCCCCATCCATCTTCCATTATTTGATCCTAGCCTGTTCTGAGTCTACAACCCAAGTATCAGTGGAGGTGGGATCCATGGCTTAAGAGCCAGCAGAACCTGGGATCACATATTCCTATATCTCAATTTTTAACTGCACAGAGAAGTCTCTTGGCAAAAAATATCATGGGTCAGGACATGCTAAATTTGAAATAGACAGAAAGTAGGGGAAGCCAGGAGACAAATTGGCAGCTCTCTAAGCCAAAACAATGAGAAAGCCATTTGACTAGACAGAGGTGCTTTTTACCCATGTCTGCCTGATTGCTATTGCAGTAAAGCCTGGCCTAATTTTTAACATTTCTAATTTGCAGGTCCCAAACTCAACTGGTCACATGTTCCTGAGATATAGCTCTGGCCACATCACCCAAACAGCAACGCTGCTCAGAGTACAAACCTTCCATAGGTACAGAGCTTTGTTCAAGCACAAGCAAGCTCTCTGAGGTTAACCTTTATTTCTGTGAGAGCCTAAGCATCTAAGATTCAAACTGTAAAGTTTGTCTAAATGTCAAGGGATTCAAAAGAGCCTGAAGAGAAACCCACTTTTTATGTTTCTACAGTATTACACACATAAACATGATAGCCTGAAATGTTGTGAGCAATGAAACTGCTGTGAATTTGCTGCAAAGATAATGGCAGGAAAATTAGTCTGATTCAGGGAAAATGCAAATCCACAAGTCTAGATTAAACATCCCTCATCTTGGCCTTCGATCATAGGAACATTCTCCTTCCGTGCTCCTTGAATTCTCTCTTCCTCTGTGAAAGGTTCCCCTTTTTATGATTCCGTATCTGGCTGAGCTATGGATAGTTTCTCCCCTCCCCCTTGCTTATTGGTCCTTCAAGTTTAAAAGCCTTTCCAGATCTAAAATCTACATTCCCTAGATCTGCCAGGCCATAGACAGGCTGAGTCCATGAGTGTTTACTTGGAAGCCCCATTATCCTCAGCATTTTTACTGTCATTGTTCTCTTTATCCCTGATGCCAATATGAAAAACCTGTGGGAAATGAAATAATTTCTTTTCCCTTGAAATTTAAATCCTGAAAACGGCCCAGAGAAAAGTCTGAGATCAGTTGGAGGTGATGTCACCAGTCCCTTGCTCCTTGCCTTTGCTGTCTGTAACTGGAGAAATGGATTCTGGAGAACAAACTTTGAATGAACTGGAATGTCATTGGCCAAAGTTATCCGTGCAGTCTTCTGAAGTTGGGCAGATGGTGTTTTGGCTTACCTTAGAATCTGTATTTCTGCTTTAATTTGGTGGAGATGGGGTCTTAATGGTTGCCAAGCTGTTCATCTTGGATAGTCCTGATGTCGCTGGGCCAAAGTGCTAATATTTTAGCTAGTTTGTATTAGCTGGCTTTTATTTTCTGTCTCTCTTTATTTCCGCTGCCTTGGTAAAAATATCACATCCCTGATGTTTTGCCTGGGGTGGGAGCTAAATATGACTTGTCTTCTCAGAGTCAAGTACTATTGATCTTAAATATATGTAGTGCCTTTATAGAACTGGAGGAATGGGATGATCTTTGGCCCCAAGAAAGAGAACTGATCCATATAATCCATACCCATATCTGGTCTTCTGATCTCACTCTCTGTTTCTAAATATAAGAGGCCAAATGTATGGATTTGTTTAGTTATACTTTAAGGGTGCCTGTCTGCTGGTAGGCAACCCATGACTCAGGGGAGGGGAGAGAGTTTGTTCCATGAGATCATGCTGGCCTCATCCTGGGGCCAGGTCCAAGTGTCAGCTCTCTGTGCAAGGCCTTGGAGGGAAAACAGGTGGAAAGCTCACTTTTGCAAGAGCACAAGGTAGAGTCATGACAAGGTGCTGTATGAGGCAGCTCTGAACTTACCTTCCTTGGGCAGATGGTAGTACAAGAGCCAGAAGAAAAGGAGACAGCAAAGTACAGCACTTATCCTTGTAGACAGCTCTCTCCAACTGGTCAGCATTCTTATAGAGGTTTTCCCAGGTGGGCCACCAGCAGGGGCCAAGCGAGGATGCACCCCACTACAAAGTCCAGACTTTTTCTAAATCCAGCTACAAGGGGGAGTCTGCCTGGCACAGAGGAGATTCTGCTGTGACTGGAGCACAGCTGCATTCCCTTTCTGGCAGAGCAAAGCTGTAGGTAGCAGCATTAGACTTTCTAGAGAGAATGTGCAGGTCCAACTGCAACTTCCCAAAGGTCCCTGCTGGGTTCTTTAGGATCTGGTGCTTCTCAATCCAGAGTCCAGGGGCACCAGAAGTCTTATTTCTAACAAGATCCCTGTAGGAGGAGGATCCCTCCTTTTTACATCTTATCCTGAACGTCAAGCTCCGCCCTCGCGCTAGCCGAGAAGGATGTTCTGAAAGCCTGATTTGCACCAGTTAATTGCTTTAAAAGTATCGGTGGGGTGGCGGCTTTGCGGGACCCCGCCCCTTTCCGTGGCACCAGCAGAAGTCCCGGCCGTGCGCAATTTGATTCCAGACTTATGTCTTTCAACCACCGCAGATGCCGGCTGCTTCTGCTGCTATTTCCCTTCGCCGTTTGACGCGGTTTGCCAGGCGTAATCTTCGACACCACGATCTCCCCCCGCCAGAGCCCACCCAACAGCTCGTCTCCCCGCTTGCTGCACTGCCGCCTGCTCGCCCGGCCTTCCTCGGGCGCAGGGGAAAGGGTTCATCCTCGGCTGCGGGGGAGCCAGGGGAAGAGGGGGAGGGCAGAGGAGCGGGGCTCGCCAGCCACAAGCTCCGACCCGCACCCTCTGGGGCCACACGCGACCTCCCGAGCGCTCCCGGGCGCGCGTGTCGCGTCGCGTCACTGACTTCGGCTACCTGTAGCAAGCTCTTCCCTCTTGGATCAGATCGGCTCCCAGCAACAAATAGCGGAGCGATCTGTTGGGCGAGAGAGGATTTCTTCGATCCAATTTCTCAGGGAGGAAGCGAAGCGTGCGTGCGTCCGTGCTAAATACAGAGGCTGGAAAGTGCCAAAGCCCAAACTGGGGGCTCACGGCCCCCTTTTCAAGAGAAACAGAGTCTCGCCCCTCCCTCCGATACTTTCGGGCTCTCCGCAGCGGGAGAAGATTGCACGTTCTCTGCGACCGAGAAGCCCCAGTTCCCTCCCCAACCCAAAGCCGCTCTTGTTACTGCCGCTTCATTCGCGGTGCCGGACTGCAGGAAAGACACGGAAGCAGGGAGTAATCCCAGCCGAAGCGTTGCCAGATTCCTTAGTTCAGCGCTCCCTTTGGAGACGTCTGGCCAGCCCCGCGCCTCTGCAAGGGTGCCAGCGGAATTCCTGACCGAAGCGGCCTCGCGCTATCGCTGCAGCTTTTTTCCCCGCCCGGAGGGTGCAGGGTCTCTCTCCTCCAGGTCGTGCCGAGAAAAGATCCAGGGAAAGTTTCTCGCTCGCTCACTCGCTCTTTGCCCGCGAGCGGCTCTTTCGCCCCAGTCGGGCGCCCCGAAGCAGTAGCGCCGGCCTCTCTCGCTCGCCGCCGGCTGCCTCCCCAGACTGCGACCCCCTGCTATGAATTCTCCTTGGCGGAATGTCTCCCTCCGCTTAACTCTTTCCGCGCTGCAGCCTGCCGGCCGCCCGATCCGCTCCGAGCTGCTTGTCTGCTGCCGCATTCCCTGCCCGCCGCTTTTCCTTTTGCTGGAAGAGTCCTGCTAGGAGTGGGATTCGCGTCCTCCTCCCCTAGCAAAGGTGAAAGCCGCAGGGCATGGGTGGGCCGAGTAATGCAGCATTCTGGGCTTCTTCGCTCAGCCTGGCAGCGGAAAACCCGGAAGGAGCAGCACGCCTCTTGCTGGAGGTTGGCTGAGGATTCAGTTTTTCACGCCGGACCTACTTGGGGGCTGAAGGACGGCATCAGCTGCGGGGCGAAAGCGCGGCTGCGAGCGGGGGGTGCTCGGCTGGGTACGCCACGACGCTCCTCTTCCTTCTGGGGGACAGGGATGGCGGCCTCCCTGGGGTG